GTTGTAACGTAAAATGAAAAGTACATTCTTTGTTGTGTATTGCTGTATACAGATGCCTTAACCAAGTTGGCCACAGGCCCTTTCGTTGGAGGTTCGACCCCAATTTTATGAAATTGATCACTCCATAATATGCGGGTACATTATAGGTACTCGACGGACACGCGTGTATATAATGTGTAGGCCTATATATAAAATATTGTTAATTTTGACATTTGATAGTGATTGTACTCGATAATCCTTCTCTTTGCATTTTGTTAGTGTGGGCCTATCCCTTTGCTTTGTCTATGTTTTACTGACTTCTATCCTTCATGACGAAATATAGGAAATGAAATAGATCTTCACTGTTGAAAAAAATTATATCTTTTCTTTGTATGATAATATTTGGTGCAAAGATTCATCACCGTTGTAGGCGTGGTTCACCTGTTTCATCAGCGGAAATCCCAATAATATAAAGTAGGCTAGCCTACGGTATAGCAAACAGGACTGGATAAAATAAAAGTGTAATTGCTTAATCTCACAAATAAAGTTAACTATACTGACCGTAAGCATATATACCTTAAAACAAAAATTAAAGTTATTAATAGCCAAATATCTTACCTTTACTTTTCAGCTCATTTGTATTAAAGTGGTGGACAATATTTTTGAAGTACTTAGTGATACACTCGACGTCGTCCAGACACTGGCTTCTGAATGACTCAACACCAAGAAATGGAAACACAAGTTTTGTTTTTATTTTCATGGGTTGCTTGCCGGCGTGTAAATAATCATGTTGTCATGAAAGTGGGATATTGACCACACTGTTCTGCCAGTTCTACGGGGAACCATGCGCTACACTGATGTAAATATGACTAAGTATATTAATGTTGACTATGATACATGCGGAAGTGTAGCGAAATGAATGACTAGACTCAAATGACGTCATGCGTACGGCAAACCGAAATCTGACATGTTTCGATACGCTGGTCGTATAAACACTCCACTGAGTTCATTCACATCAATGCACATGAGCCACTCCCAGGAAGGTTAACACGTCACAAACTATGGATACATGACGTCATAGCATAATGTCGTGTTGTAAAATAACCATACAGTATTATAGGTAGTCTCTTTAGTCTTTTTCCACGTTGACACGCCCTACAGCATCTTGCATTATGGTGTTTCGCCTCACCAAATGATTTATATTTACAAATTGTGCACTCAGAACAAAATAAAACTTACATTTAGTAGCCACAAGTAGGCCTACCTTTCAGGCAATACATGGGCCTAAGTACTATTTTGTAGACATTCGTCAAAGAAATAACATTTTTCGAGCATTTGAGAGAATACAGTAATCACATTTTGGTCCGTACAGGCGGATAAAATCGTGTGATGATTTCATCTAGGCTTACTTAAATCGATCTAGGCCTAGGACATAGGCCTCGCCCTACTATGGTGCCTACATCTAATGGAGTTATGGCGCTGGAATTATGGAGTTATAATTATTTAAAAATAACTATCTTTAAAATACTGAGAAGTATGATAGTTTTCATAAATTTTAAGTATGAAAGTGCCGTTTTCGGGCTTCTAAAAATCCCAAGTTCTTAAAATTTACTCATCTGCACTCCAAAACGATGGTGGGGCTCTGGTGGATATCGTAGGATTTGTACTATTCAAGTGCTATTTTGGGGCATCTATAAGTCTACAATTCTTAAAATTTTTTACCTTAGCCAAAACCATGTTGGGGGCTCAGATGGATATTATAGTACTTAAGCGCCAAATTAAAGCATCTATTTAATTAATTCGTTTTGTTTTACTCAGTTTGTCAAAAAAAAAAAAAAAATAATAATAATAATAAAATTAAAAAGCGGTTGGCGCAACGGCTGTGGCATGAACTCTTAACCGTGACGTCTGTTGTTTCAACCCGATCGCTGCGCAAGTCGCTTGTCCTTAGGGAAGACACTTTATTTACGTTTGTCCCTCTCCACCCAGTATAAATGGGTGCCGGCATATGATTGGAAGTTGAAACAGACTACTGCGGGAGGAGTGGCGAACCCCCAACAGCCTTGCACAGTCTGGCCCAAACGCCAAGGAAAGAGAGACGAGTACTCCAGTCTGTGAGCCCAGAGCTTCAGCTTTCGACCTCTACCTTACCTTTACCTAAAAGGCAATAATTAAGTTCTCAGGGGCGGATCCAGAATTTTCCAAACGGAGGGGGGGGGGCACTCAATAGTTTTAGATTAGGTAAGTGAGTAGCACATGACATTGATTTGCATTGAAATTTTAAAAATTTAGTGGCAAAACGGGTGGGGGTAGTGGCAAAACGAGTAGGGGCGCACGGGGGTGCCCCCTTGATTCCATATCCGGACATCCAGAGGTACAAAATACTGAAAGTTTTCTGACGTCATCGCTAAGCATGATGGCGCTGACGTGGTTCTGGACTCTCGCTTTCATCAGAACCCACTTCCTTAAATCTTGGATACGCCACTGCGATTGGCTTGTAATTTTCAATATGGTCCTAACTTACAATGACTGGATTTGCGTCAGGAGAAACATGTATAGGTGTAATTTTTGCCCTACCTGGCGTGGAAATGTACCGAATACTCAGTACATTTGAAAACAACTGCGAAAAAAATCGCAAGTTGTTCTCGGGTGGGATTCGAACCCACGATCTCCAGATC